TCAAGGGCTCGCTAAGATCCTGTTCAGCTCTGCGATGTCTTGTTTCTCCCGTTCACGCTTGCTGGGTACATTCAAGGGCAAGGTGGCGAGTCTCTTCTGACATTCATTTTTGTTTTTCCTTTCTCCCGCTCTTTTAAATGACCCTTGCTTTCATCATGCATCCAAATCTCTTCTTGAGAGTCTCTGAATTTGGGTGGGATAGACCCAAGGTCGCATTTTGGCTCTTGTGTTACTTGTTTTTCTTCAGCTTCCATTTCAACTTGCACGTGAGCCGCTGATGGTCTGGTCCACAGTTGACCTCTGGCCTTGTTCTGATGGCTGATACTGATCTTCCCTATCCTCCCTTTCCATAGGTGGAGCTGATTTGATCGATGTATTCCATTTGGCCAGATAGGTGTGTATCGGAAATTTTCCTTATGTTGGGAAAAAAAAGGGGGGGGTACTTGCAGTGGAGAAGTCATTGGTCTTGTAAATTTTTCTCGTGTCATCTCTGGCACCATTCCAACCGCCAAGGCCATGCTTTCCAGCTGCGACACTCCCTCCTTGCTCTCAGCTTTCTCTCTAATCAGCAGGGCGTCTCGGTGGCATGCTTGGTCAAGTTCAGACTGCAGAAGCTGGTAGAGAGCCTCAGTCTCTTCCTCACGAGCCTTAGAGGATGTGTATAGACCTGAGCAAACGGGTCTTCCTGGGGGATATAGATATAACGACTCTACTGTGGACAGCGCTGTACTCGGAACTGATCTCGAAACGTTCCTCTTCCGATGGGTGCGGTGCCGCTCCTCTTCGGGCTGTCCTCTGGCGGTCGGCCACGTGACCGACTGACTGACTCAGCATGGCCATCCCGGTCCACTCTGGCTCATCGGCACCCAGGACACTGGATCTGGATGTGTTCCTTTCCATTTCTGACGACGACCAGTGTTCCTGGACTCACGGTCTGTGTGTGGCATATTCTGAGGAACAGTGGATATTTGCAGCTGTCCTCATTTTGAGCCATGCCCTGTCAGCAAGTGAAGGACCTGAGAGCTCTTCTCCGCCCGTGATGCCAAGGTCAACTCCACTTTGAGGGATCAGCTCTTCCCTGGCCGTATTTGAGTGCCTTCCAAGGTAGGGGCTCGTCTTCGGGCACTATCTCAGACAAGGTTCCGCCGCCAGTCATCAGGTTGTCAGTGGTGATTGTTCAGAAGCCTCCTGCTTCTTCCGAGTCTGGAAGCGTCACCGAGACCTGGCCCCCAGGAGCAACGGGTGGTACAGCTTCCCGCTTCACAGCCACACGCCAGCCACCACAGCGTGACAAGCCGCCCATCTAGGGTCACTCGGCACAAATAGTGACAGCTGTCATGCCACAAATGTGAAGCACCTTTCAGGAGTCAATAGTGGAGATGGCTGCACACCTTGGGAATGCAGTTAGTGTCTCCCGGAAATTAGAGCGAACTTCAAACAGTTTGTGGAAAAACAGAGCTAAAAAGGATCACGGATTTCCCCC